CCCCAAAACCCCAAAACCCCATATACATAAATATGATTATTAGAAGGGAATGAATAATTATTTATTGATTTATATATATTGAATATGGTAAAATAACAAAAAGAACAAAAACCTCAAGTTGCCAAGGTATCAATTAAGAAGGACAGCAAGACTGCCACTCTTGCCAAGACAGTAGCCAAATCAGAAAAGTCCAAGAAGAGCATTGGCACCAAGCAAGCACAGAGAAAGAGACAATTGTCAAGAAGATTTAACAAACTCAAGGTTAAGGCTGGAGACTTGGATAAAAAAGCCATTATATATGTAGGTCATCTTCCCAGAGGTTTTAACGAGAAGGAACTCAAGAAGTTCTTCGAGCAGTTCGGAGATGTCACTAGAATGAGAGTCGCTAGGTCTAAGAAGGTAATTTACATATACTTAGTCATTTATTTTTAGACTGCTAGACCCAAAGGTTATGCTTATTTGGAATTTCAGGATAAGAACGTTGCCTAGACTGCAGCTAAAACCATGCAAGGCTACATTCTATTTGGAAGACAACTAGACTGTCACGTCGTCGAGCAACCTCACAGAGAGACCTTCAAGAATGGCAACAGAGATTGGAAATACATCCCAACTCCAGTTAAGTTCAGAAACGAAAAGAACAGAGAAAAGACTAATGAAGAAAAAGCTGCTAAGGTAAAAGGTCTCCTATAAAAGGAGAAGGAAAAGAGAGATAGACTAAAAGAATTAGGTATCAAGTACGACTTTACTGGATATGTAAGTTTATATGCTTTCTAATTTATGACATTTATTAGACTGGCATTGTTGAAGCATTCAAAACTGCACTTCATAAAGAAGCTAAAGAGCAGGTTAAGCAAGAATAGCAAGTATCAAATAAAAAGAAGGCAAAGTGAATAGGTGAAGTCATACAAGAGTATATTGTTGAGAAGTGACTTTAATTAATTAAACTTAATTTTGAAGATTAATAGTTATATTATTATAATCGCATCAACTCATTAATGGGAGATAGAAGTAAATTAAGTTTAAACTCAGGCATTAAAATTTCAAATCAGCTTCAAAAAAATTCTTCTGATATCAATACCTCATAATCAAAGCCTCCCATAAATGCCTTTTTAGCTCATATATAATCAAAGAAGACGCACTCAATGAAATAACTTGACAGTCAACTGCCAGCCGTGATCAGCAGTAGATCTAATAATGATTTCATCTAAACTAATTAAGTACAAAAATATCAGATTGCAGGCAAAAAGAAAAAGTAGCAGTCGGTAAACTATTGGAAGAACAAGTAAATAGATAATAAGGTGGTTATGACAGACTTTAAAACATTGGAGAACAATAAAAGCATAAAGTTTAAGACTTAGATGAGAGAACTTAAGATTGATTTTAGAGATAAAATCAATCTGATTACCGAAGGTGGTTACTCCACTGAGAGTCTTGAAATAAATGCAAACACCGATAATGGCCTTCAAAGCTCTATCTTTAACACGCGAGATAGTAGATTAGAGTAAAAGTATGCAAATTTCAAAGATGATTAAGATATTGGAGTTGGCAGTGGACTTGCATTTGAAGAAAGTACTATAGAAGCTGGTGAAAATAACTATGAAGAGAACCACCCGTCTAAGGATTTTAAATCAAAGTATCTCAAAAACATTAAATCAAAAGGGGTTTTCAATTAATAAAAAACAAATAAAAAAATAAAACAATAATAACACGTCAACTCCCCTTATTAAGAAAATTAGAATAGTTATTAAAGAGTTAATTTTAAAATTAAAGAAGAAGATCACGATGATCAAAGGGGAATCGGTGTATTATACAATATTGTCAAGGATTACAAAATAAGCAATCAGTTTGCAAGTGATCATGAAAAGCAGAAGCTTATTTAGGATCTTATTTTAAGGAAAAAGTCAATGTAGAATTTTGCAAACAGAGAAATTGACACAGGTGATACAGGGTCAAATAATAAAAGAAATCTTAATAAAAACACGAAAATTCAAGATAAAAGCCTGAAAACTCTATTAGCTTACTAAGATTCTAACATAAGCATTAGCGATCTGTAATATAAATAGAGATAGCCATATTAAAATTCCATTACTACGAATAATACACCCTTTAATTAAGATAAAAATTTGGAATTTTATGATTTGGGTCATATTAGAATGACCAGTGGGATACCAATTCATAATAGTATGATAAATTATAAGATCAAAGAATAACTACAGAACAAAGAGGATATGAAAATAACAAGAGAAAGGCTGAAATAGATAAATGAGAAGCTCTAAAATCATAAATTCAAAGACATGATGAGGTATATTCTGCATAAAGGATATTGGAAATATAAGAGCAAACACTTTAAAAATTACAATTAAGAAGAAATTTAAATTGAATCACAAAGGTCTAACCCATCTGAAGAGGTTTTAAAGATTAATGAAGAGGTAAAGAAATTAGAAGATAATCATAGACTCTATAAAGATTCATCTCTGCCTGTTATTAGACAGTTAGTTTTGAGAAAAGAGGGAGATGTAATAGGCTCTCTTGAAAGAAAATAAAAATTAATGCTAAAAAATATGAATTATTAGAATAGCCCTTATTGGTAAAAAGTGGATTCAGGTTTTAATACTCTTAAACCTTGAATATATCTACTCATTATGTAATTTATATAAATCCAATTTAAATTTTATCCTAAATTCACAGATTTATCTTATATCGTGGGGTTTTGGGGTTTTGGGGTTTTGGGG